ATCTGCGCTTGCATCTGTTTATACTCGTCCATGAATTTCTGCGTCTTCACTTTATATTTTTGTGGAAATTTCGCTCTTATGTACTCGAGGACACTGACTACGACAAATACGTATAAAATATCGACTGGGATTGAATGTGCGCGTTGATCTCGCAGTTGTTTGAAGATCTCGACCATCTAAAACGCTGAGCTTGTACTTGTTTTGGAATGTGGTTTATGCAACATTCTCACATCAACCGGTCTTCCCGCGAATAATCTTCGTAAGATGATATCGACCATAATGATACAACCCGTGCGACCAATACCAGCCGAGCAATGCATCACGATTGGTCCATTGTCAAGCTTATCAGCCTGGAAAGCAGATTTTCATTTTTCGCAGAAAAAACTTGCCTCGGAGCGTAGCTGACCACAACTTTGCGAAGAAGACGAAGAACATGACGACCACTTTGCGGTAATCCTCGATCCGGCCAAGTAGTCATATGAATCATTTTAACCACATGGGAGTTTGAGCATCCCTCTGGCACGAGTTCAATAGTGTAGACCATGAATTTTTCTTCAGACTCGACCTTCAAAGCATACATGTGAAGAATATTGTGGTCACGCTCAGTTAAAATCTGTTCCCGGACAAAGGCGAGTGGCTGCTCGAATGCCGTGGCACTGGTGCGCATGGGATGCAGGCGCTACTGACCGATGACCGATCGCGCCGAGCAACCTATTGGATGGGCATCATCTGTCCTCGACAAGGAATAGCATTTATCTACAAAGTTCCCGTCCATTCACCTTCTTGGTATTTACGAAAATCTTTCCTTGTGTAAAAAATTTTCCAGGTTCTGTTGGCCAGTATTCAGAGCACTTTATTTTTCCTGCTTCGACGCACTGAAATTTGCCGAGGTTACCAATACTGTTCAATGGCATCGCATGCCCTTACTCTAGTTAGATTAACAATGCTAGGACATTGTTCTTGAAAAATCATTCTCCAAAAATCTCCTATAGTATTATCCAGTGGTCCCTGAAAGAAGAACAGGTGTACGGCACGCGCCATACTTGATCCGCTTGATCCGCTTCATCCA